GATATTTCTTCCTTGATATGTGTTAGATATTTAAGATGCCTGTTCTTGCATTCAGTACATTATGTAATTGGTTAATCAATTGGAGATAAATTATATTAAAAATGTGCTCCATCTCTCTCCAGACTCCAGCCCTACAGAGTCTCCTGTTTATGGCCAAAGGGGAGCATCTGTTAATCTCACAGTGGAAGGTCTTCGGGATCTACAGATCATAAGAATAACATGGAAGTATAATAATACAGACATACTGGAACACTCAATGGATAGTAGTCCTTCATATTACAACAGAGATTATACAGAGAAGATACAGTTTGACAGTAGCGACTTCTCTTTGCTCATTAAGAACCTAGACGAGACAAACCGGGGCACCTATACTGCTGTAATAAAAGATAAAAATAGGAACGACTTTGTAAAAGCCAAATACCATTTACATGTACTAGGTAAGAACAGAATTTTAGAATGTTAATTTGTGTCTCTGCTGCAATATAAAAATGATTATCTCTGGGGTGACATATGCATTGGTTCTGCTTTGCAGAGGCTGTTTCCAAACCAGTTATTAAGCCACTTTCATTAAGCTCTGCTGAAGGATTCTGCAATGTGTCAGTGAACTGCTCTGTGAGGGACAGCTGGGTCTATTACACCTGTAACCAAACCCAGTGCTCACAGACAGAGCCCCAGTCCTGGCCAGATGTGAACATCACTGTCACTGTTTATAATGGAAACATCACCTGCACAGGCAGCAACCGGGTCAGCAAGGAGACCCAGTCAGAACCACTGGGACATGCATGTGAGTGTATGATGATGAATTTGATCATTACTTATATTAGGACACTGAAACACAACTGTCACTTGCATTTTAAACTGTCTGGTGTTTGAAGCTGATGTATGTTGTGCTGAAATTAAAAACAGCAGTTTTGCATCTTAACTGGATTATAATCACCTTGGGCCACAAATGTTTATTTTCTCTCTTTTTTGTGTTAATTTACCCATTATTATTATCATTATTATTATTATTATTATCACTTTTCATACAATGCTGTTATGGAAATGATCCAGTCTTTCAGAAACTGTCTGTAAGACAAACCAGCATGACCTCATATGACTATGATGAAGGATCATCTCCAGTAACAGATAAAACACTGCAGACTGTAAAAGCTCAGCAGGATGTTCATGGTTTTCAGTTTTTCCCATGAGCTGCCCCAGGTATACTTACAGAATTCATAAGATATCATATAGCAACTAGCAACATAAAACATTGAGTTTATAAGATACCATTTAGAAAGCAACACAAAAATTACGTAGATTAATCTAACAGTGCCTGAGTAGGTCTGCCNTAAATTATATTAAAAATGTGCTCCATCTCTCTCCAGACTCCAGCCCTACAGAGTCTCCCATTTATAGATTAAAGGGAGCGTCTGTTCATCTAACAGTGAAGGGTCTTCAACATCCAGAGATGAGAAGAATTACATGGAGTCTCAACTCTACAGCTATGCTGGAACACGAAGTGCTTAATAATGATACATATTACTACCCAGATTATAAAAAGAAGATGCAGTTTGACAGTAGAGATTTCTCCTTGCTCATTAAGAACGTAAACGAGACTGACCAGGGCACCTATACTGCTGTAATAACTGGAACAGGTGGTACTGATTCTGAAAAAGCCAAGTACCGTTTGCATGTCCAAGGTAAGCAGGGAATTTGAGTATGTTTATTAGTGTCTCTGCTGTGCTGTGAAACTGATTATAACATGTCTATGAAATATGCATTGGTTCTGCTTTGCAGAGGCTTTTTCTAAACCAGTTATTCAGATGAAGCCACTTTCATTAGACTCTGCTGAAGGATTCTGCACTGTGTCAGTGAACTGCTCTGTGAGGGACAGCTGGGTATATTACACCTGTGACCAAACCCAGTGCTCACAGACAGAGCCCCAGTCCTGGCCGGATGTGAACATCACTGTCACTGTTGATAATGGAAACATCATCTGCACAGGCAGTAACCGGGTCAGCAACAAGACCCAGTCAGAACCAGTGGGACATGCATGTGAGGGTATGATGGTGAATTTGATTATTACTTACATTAGGACACTGAAACATAACTGTTACTTGCATTTTAAACTGTCTGGTGTTTGAAGCTGAAATGTGTTGTGCTGAAATTAAAAACAGCAGTTTTGCATCTTAACTGGATTATAATCACCTTGGGCCACAATGTTTATTTTCTCTCTTTTTTGTGTTAATTTACCCATTATTATTATTATTATTATTATTGTCATGCGTCAGGAGCAGGTGAGCCGGGAAGTAGGCGAGAGGAGCCGGACGAACGGGTAAACAGGGTTTTAATTGATACGAGAAGGCAGACATTCACTAACACGCATAACAATACAATGACGGATCTGGGGAAGACTGACTGAGACTCGGACTAAATATATGAGACAAGGCAAAAGGAATAGGTAACAGGTGACGACAATCAGGTTTCGACAGGAGGTAATGAGGGGGCGTGGCACACACGAGGATCGTTTGGAGCTGAACGTGACAATTATCACTTTTCATAAAATGCTGTTATGGAAATGAGCCAGTCTTTTAGAAACTGTCTGTCTGACAAACCAGCATGACCTCATATGACTGTGATGAAGGATCATCTCCAGTGACAGATAAAACACTGCAGACTGTAAAAGCTCAGCAGGATGTTCATGATTTTCAGTTTTTGCCATGAGCTGCCCCAGGTATACCTACAGAATCCATATCATAGCGACTAGCAACATAAAACATTGAGTTTATAAGAT